GGGGGGGGGGGGGGGGGGACGCGCGAGTTAATTCTTCATAGGTTGCTGCGAAACTTATTACTCGTTGAAACGTCCCTCGGCAGCCGGTATCTCAGAGACCGGTTTTTCCTATCAGCGGCTCTGCGCGTCGCGCACCGTCCGCGAGAACGATCGTGCGCGTTCTCCCCATCGCGTTCAACATCTTCGCCGATCTCGTCCTTTATCTCGTCTTATCGCGTGGAAGCGAGAACAACGTTGTACACGATGGCGATTACGGACGGTTACGTAAGAAATCAAAGTTAATCCGGCGAAGGAGTAACCTTTAAGATTAATAATCAGTAATAGACCTTGCTGTGCCTCCCCCCCTCCCCCTCCCCGTCTACTACTATTTCTACTACCGCTTCGCTACACCTCGTGCAATCGAAATTCCTTGCAAACAGGTTCTCGAGTCATCGAGAACCTCGCTCGGTAGACGCGTCTCCTTCACAGCAGGAGGAGAAGGAGCAGGAGGAGATGGCCGGCTTGAAAGACCAACAGGCCGGAATGCGACTAACGAAGCGCGTAATGGTCAATTCCGGATATCCGAGGTATTCCGGATTAGTTCCGATGATGTTAACTCTATTGATTTTTCCGACGATAACGAATATATCGTATGAATCGCATCACGGATTCATAAAATTTGCTTTTCAAACATACCGTATTAAATATCGCAACCTGTGTGTGTATGTCGACGCGTTATCGCAAACTTCGCACCGTATATTTCTACAATCTCCTCCTGATATTCCAGTATAAACCCACCTCAAATTTTCCCTCCCCTTAGCCTACATTCCGAAACGTTATTTTCGAGGAAAATTTCAACTCGATGACCTCCGAGTGGCGGAAGAAGGGACGACTCGGAAACGCTCGTCAAGTTTCGGAACAGCCATCTCGTGATGAGATTTCCCGCGAAAAGAACGTTTCGCGACGTAGACGGTGAAAAAAATTTCGTATTAAAAACGATCCACTGAAATGTCCGCAGTTAATCTCACACGCGGGACAGTGTGTTGAAAAATGTAACGTTAAATTACCCTGTTCGTAAGATAACACAAAATTTCGACGGATCGTTTTTCACGCGAAATCTTTTTTACAGTTTCAGTTCTTCTTAGTGTTCACACATTAGGGTTCGACCCCTAACCCCCCCAGGTTATTGATTTCTCCAACGGCGACAAATAACCGGTGAATAGGATCGCTCGGACTACTCGCGGGATGGAGCGCGCGCGGTCGCCTCTCATTACCGATCGTTACTATTTGGGACGTCCTCTCTTTGTTGCAGGCGTATTAGTGGTGAACGTCACGTGGCGCGGCAAGACGTACGTCGGCACGCTTCTGGATTGCACCCGCCACGACTGGGCGCCGCCCAGGTTCTGCGACTCGCCGACGAGCGACCTGGACGCCCGGACGCCGAAGGGCCGCGGCAAGCGGGGTCGCGCCGCCGCCAACTCCACGCCCGGCAACGACCTGAGCAACTTCACCGAGACCAGGAGCTCGGTGCACAGCAAGCTGCGCAACGGCGGCAAGGGTCGCAGAGGCGCGCAGGGTTCGCCCGCCGCTAGTCCGAGTCCGGCGGCGTTCGTGCCGCCGCGTCCGGACCCAGCGGCCAAGCGCAAATCCCGCGGCCCCGAGGAGGAGGAGAAGAACAAGCGGCGGGCACCGCCGCCTACTCCGCCGAGCGGCTCGCCGCCGGCGAGCCCGGTGTTGCTCGAATGCCCGGAGCCGAATTGCAGCAAGAAGTACAAACACATCAACGGGCTGAAGTATCACCAAAGTCACGCGCACGGCTCCGCGGACGACGACGACACGAAGGAGGGCATCACGAGCATGTCCGAGAACGACGAGAGCAATATCGAGGCGCCGAGTCCGGCCACGCCGGTGAAGTCGCCGGCGGACAAGCCGGAGGGCACACCGGTCCGCGCGGCGAGTCCACCGGCGACGGGTCTGCCGCCGGAAACTCCACCGCCACCTCCCCGAGTACCATCACCGAGTATAGAACCTCCCACGCCCGCCGTGCTCGCGGACAAGAGCATCGTCAAGCCGGGTGTCTTGAGGTTCGGTCAAGACGACCTGCCGGCGCCCAGTCCTGTGGCGCCACCCTCGTCGAGGCAAACCTCGGTGCAGCAGCAGCAGCAGACGTTGCAGCAACAGCAGCAGCAACAACAGAGCCAGTCGTCGTTAAGCTCGTCGAATCCGCCGCAGAGCCCGAGCCCGCACACCAGTCAGTCTCCCAGGCCCGTACCCTCGCCGCACCCGAGCACAAACATCCCCCAGCCCATCAACATACCGCAACCGCCGCAGCCTTCGCAGGTGCCGCAGCAGCATCAGCCGCAGAATCCGCTGCTGCAGCAGGCGCAGCAGTCGCTGCAGGTCGGCCAAGCGCCGCAACAACTGCAGCCTAGCCAACAGCAACTGCAGTCTTCGGTGCAACAGCAACTGCCGCCGGCGCATCAGCTGCAGCCGATGCAGCATCCTCTGTCGGCGCAGCTCGGCCAGCCGACGCAGGCGCACGTGGTGCAGCAGTCCGGGCTGCAACAGCAGCAACAGCAGGCGAGCCTGCAGAGTATAGCGAGCCAACACCCGGGTCTGCAGGGTCTCGCGAGTCAGGTGTCGCAGCAGGCGAGTCTGCAGGCGGCGCCGCCGCCTCCCGGCCACCCGGGTCAAGGTGTACAGTCGCACCTGCAGCAGTACCAGAGCGTGTCGCTGCACACGGCCAAGGTGCCGCAGTTCAAGGTGAAGCCGACCGCGGCGCTCATGCCGGAGCAGGACAAGAGCAAGAACGAGGCGCGCACCCCGAAGCCGCAGGGCTACAAGAAGAAGTCGCGGAAGTCGCCCGGCGGCAGCCCGCACCCCTCGCCGCTGGAAGCACCCATCGTCGACTCGGCGCGCGACGACGTCCAGAGTCCGGCCTACTCGGACATCTCGGACGACGCGGCGCCGGTGCTCGAGGCCGAGCCGGCCGACAAGTCGAAGCAGAGCCAGGACAAGGATAACAAGACGAGTGCGCCCACGCACCTACCTGCCCACTTCAGCATGTATCCGTACTACAGCCAGGCGCCGTACCTGATGCCCACCGTGCAGGAGAGCAAGCCGGTGGTCGACCAGAAGCCGAGCGACCTCACGCCCAAGCAGGAGATCAAGCCGCTCAATATACCGCAGATGCCTTCGATGGCGAGCCTACAGAGCGTCGTATCGGAAAAGGAGAAGAAGGAGCTGAGCCAACCGGTGCCGCAGCCGCAGCAACAGCCGCATTATTACGGCGGCTACGGCGGCTACATGCCACCGGGTTACCCGTACCAGCCGCCGCAGCCGGTGTCGCAGCAGCAGAGCCAACAGTCGCAGGAGCCGGAGCCGCACGAGCAGAAGGCGAAGATCAAGCAGGAGCCGCAGCCGCAGCCGAGTCTGAAGGACAAGCAGCACGAGAACCATCAGATTCTCAAGGAGAGCCTCGACCTGAAGAACCAGATGGGCACGTACCACGTGTACCACGGTTCGCAGAATCAACGAGGCGGACCGCCGCCGCCGCCGGGGCCTGTGCAAGACGACAGGAGGTACTACATGTACCCGGAGCAGAGGCGGAAGGACGACTCGAACAAGCAGAATCAACAGCCGAAGGCGCCGCCGCCCAGCCCGAAACACCAGCCGAAGCAGGAGAAGCCGCAGGATCTCGGCAAGAGCGACGACTCCAAGAGCAAGCAAGAGGGCGTCAAGCCGACGATGGAGACGCAGGGACCGCCACCGCCGCCTACCTCGCAGTACGCTTACATCCATCCCACCTACATGCAGGCGCAACACTACGGCGCGTTGCCGTTCGACCCGGGTCACCCGGTCTACCGCGGCCTCAGCCCCATGATAATGCCCGCGCCCTACTCGGGCGGGCCCTACCTCCACCAGCTGCCCAGGTATCACGCGCCGGAGGACCTCAGCCGGCCGCCTGGCGGCAAGGCGTTGGAACTGCTCCAGCACCACGCGAATCAGTATTACTCGGCGCACAAGATACACGAGCTCCAGGAACGCGCTCTCAAGTCGCCCACGCCCAAGACGTCCGCCGCGTCCTCCAGCCCGTCCTCGGCGGGTCCCACGCCAGCACGGCCGCCCAGTGGTCCACCGACGTCGGTGGCCGGTCCGGGTCCACCGCCGGGACAGGGGCAACCGCCGTCGGGCAAGCAGCCGGGACAGCCGGGTGGCCAGCAACAGCCGCAGGGCGCGGTGGACGCCAGCAGCGGGACTCTCGGCAAGGATAACAGGTCACCTCCGCCGCAACGGCACGTGCACACGCATCATCACACCCACGTGGGCTTGGGTTATCCCCTGCTCACGGGACAGTACCCCGCCCCCTACGGAGGTAAGCCTCTCGTCAGACCCTGACAGTAAGGCGACCCGCGGGACCCGGCAAAGCGAGCGAGTTAGCGAGCGAGAGAAAGAGAGAGCCGTGTGTGTAGCGTGAAAAGAGTGTACGGGTTTACGTGCTCAGGACGCGCAACTGTACCGTCGTCATCCTCGACGCTGCCATATCGGCGTGCTCTTGTGTGAACTCTGACGCTCGACGAAGCTGTGAAAAGCCGTTTCCTTTGCGACCGATAGATCCCGAGCGACGGGTCATGCGCGAAGTGAGGGGTACGTGGTGATCTCACGCGATCGACTCTCGGGATCCGCGCGAGCTTCTCCGCAGAGAACGAGAGAGACCGTCTTTGTAGCCGAGACAGAAGAGGAGGGGTGCTTGGAGGGCGCGATCGCGCGCGCGCGCCTCTGCGATCCGACACTGCGAATCGTCGTCACGTCCGTCACGATCGGCTTGTATTCGTAAGTTTTTATCAAATCGGACTGCCCGGATTGCTGATTGCCGGTGCCGTACCAGAACGTCGTTTGTAAACCAGTCGGCCTCTAGAGCATGCGCTTTTTCCAAGTAATTGACCGCGCTCGTTCTTTTTGAGACACGTAACGTACGTTCGCCGTGTTACTCCACGTGTTCCCGACGATTTGAGGTCGAATTACATGCGTCGTGAGAAAGAAAGGGAGAAAGAGCGAGAGAAGGAAAGTGAGAGTGAGAGAGAGAGAGAGAGACGACTTCGATGACGAACGACGAAATGGCGAACTGACCGTTTTCAGTTTCTCGCTATCGAGACCGGACGCGATCGTCCGACAAAACGGGTAAAACTCGGCCGGGTATATTAATTAAGGGTCCGAGTATCTAAACGACGTACACCATATTGGTGCATATGAGATGAAGAAAAAAAATTAACAAAAAATTAAAGAGGATACACGCGATAAGTCCCGATGAGACGAATATGTAACAAAAAGGGACCGCGCGCGCGCGGCATAAGCTCTCTCTCCGTTCGAGAGTCGAACCGCGCGCCGGGTCTTTTCTCCGAGGTACTATTTTATTACCAGACCAATAAGAGAAAGAGAGAGAGAGAGAGAGAGAGAGAGAGAGAGAGAGAGAGAGAGAGTGAAAGAGAGAGAGCGAAAGGAAGAGAGCGAGCGAGCGAGAGAGCGAGCGAGAGAGAGAGAGAGAAACGCGTTTCTTTCTTTTTTCCATCGTTTCCTCCTTCTTTTTTATACGAAAAAGGACAGCTAAAGAATAGCTATACTGAAGAATCGAGCGAAACCTTGTTCTAATTGTGTGTGAGAAAGAAAGCATTGCTCTACGCCGTGGGCCCTGTTTTTTTTTCTCGAAAGTCGGGAGCCGCACGGCACGTGTAAATAATAAAAATTACCTTCGACTGTACATTTTTCTGCGGGCGAGCGAAGGACGAGCGATGCGGCGCGCTCGTTCGCGCTTTTGCGTTGCATTTTATCACTTTTTTTTCCTTTTTTTAAACAACGCACACCGGGCGTCGCAGGCATCGCGCGCGCTCTCGTTGCTACCGCGGATTTCACCGTCGTCCCTTTTCTCGCCTTGACGTTTAAACGTTTTTCTCCATTAGAGAGTGAAGATTTCGGTCGAATTCGAGCTCCATCAGATTCCGTTGTCTGTATTCGCGGCCTTTCGGTTTGTCGCGAGCTCTCGATCGTCAAATCATACTCTTGCCTACCGTAATCTGCGAGGTTATCGCCGAGATTGTCCGCCGGCATTATTCTTGTATTTCGACCCCTCCCTCCCCCCCTTCCCCTTTCATCGAGAGCGAGCGCGCGTCGCTTGCGACACCTTGTGTCGTGGACACTTTATACATATATATATNATATATATATATATATATATATATATATATATATATATATATATTGTGCGAGTCTCGTAGCGACGAACTGAATATTTTGGAAATATTGGAGTATAAGTGCGACCGTGTAGATTTAACCATGTAAGCCTGTGTAACGCAAGAGAGTAGTGGAAGGCGCGTAGGGATTAGACGTATAGTTCAGACTGTGATAATTATTTATCGTGCTTCTTTCCGACGGGGACGAGAGGACAAAAAGGATCCACGGAACTTATGGTGAGAGAGATTGTCGCGTCTAACCACGCTCTCGGACGAACCATCACGCTGACGCGCGGTAAATATCTAATAACGACGACGATGACATACGACCTCATCGAGCTCGATATCGATGCCGGTGTTAATATTAATCAGGGTTCCTGAAGATGCTCTCGGTTATCCGTTTGTCCGGACATCCGAAATCGGTCCCGATCCGAAAACGATCCCGAGATCGCGCTATATTCGGATGATTCGGATAATCTAAGTTACTCGAATTCGGGTTCAAACAGGAACCGAGACCCGGATCCGATTGGGTTCAGTTAAGGAAATAAATTATTAAATGTTATTATCTGATAATGTAATTATTAAATAATCTTGATTTCTTAATATTAGATTTCTCGGGATGGAGGTTGCCACGAACATGTCCGTCTGGCCGAATCCGTCGGATCCGTCGGGTTCGACGCTTTGACTATGCGTTCGTGAAAAATCCGAATCCCCGGAAAACCCGATAGTCTTAGATCGAAGAGTCACTTTACTCGTTGTCCGAACAATCGGATATCCGATGGTACAATGTTAGATCCGAGCAAACTCGGAAGCTCCACTATTAATATCGAACGCTGGCATGCGCGGGAAAAGTGCAGTCCGTAATGAAACGCTACGAATGAAAAAGTCTATGCGCCGAGAGAAAGATAGAGGAAGTAGCGGAGAGTCGGAGGATATACCGGAGAGTTTGAAGGGGCGAGAAAGAGAGAGAGAGTAGAGAGAATTTATGAAAAAGCTGCGACGGTTCGAGCGAGATGTCGAGCGAGGTGCAAATTCGCTCGAAGGATCGATCGAGAAATGCTGTAGTGTTTGGCTTTTAAATTAGGACAACGATTTTGCAGTGACACACACAAGTGCGTTGGAGACGAAATACGTTACGACTCATTTCTTCTCCCGGAAATTCGGCGCATTGGGGATCTTTTTCATTTGCGGTGTACATCCTATCCTCGAACGCGACGCGTATTATTCGCGTGTTCGCACGCAAACACGTGTATCCTTCGTTAGACGTCGTTAGTCTTCCACAAGAGAAAGCTTCTTTTGCAACAATAAAACAAAAAAACAGCAAGTCAAGACTTCGTAGTTTCCCCAGTGCGATTTTTGCGTTCAGTCGCGCGAGCGTTACAATTTCCGTTACGAGAGTGTCGATTGCGACTTGTAAAGAAAAGAGAGAGAGAGAGAGAGAGAGAGAGAGAGAGAGAGAGAGAGAAAGAGAGAGGAAAGAAAAAAAGAAAGAAAAAAAAGCGTCGTTCTTTTACTCTATACAGACGCGGGCATGCTTTTACGGCTTCGAGATATTCTCGATATACCGTACTTCGATGTTGCAGAAAGTACAAACGAGTCGTGGAGTCGACTAATTGCTTCTCCGGAGGACGATATTTTTCCTCATCTTCCCTCCGGATCGCTTTTTTTTACATTTCATAGCTCAAAGATCGAGATACAAAGACGCGTTCTCGTAGAAAATAACAACTGGAACACGGTGCTGAAACGTTCTTCGATATTCTCGTAATTACCTATTTCCATTTCTTTGCGTTCGAAAATTCGAAGTACAAGGCGCCTCTGTTAAGCTCGAATATTCGGTATTTCTGACGATAATTCTATCCTTAATTTCACGATTAGTTTCGAATTTCCAGTGTCTCTCTTTCATTCTCTCCCTCACTTCTTCTCCCTCTCTCTCTCGTTTCATTTATACGACATTCTCGTTAATTTCATTTATACGACATTCAAGTTAACCGCCTGCGGAGAGGAACGACCTTCGTGCGAGGAAGTCGCGACGCGCTCTCGTACGCGGAAAGCGCGCCTGCCAATGAGCGAATTTAATCAACCAAGTGTATCTTACGGAGCCAACACTGCCAGGACTTTCGCGTGAACGAGGAAGTCCGACCACACGTTAACATAGGGAATGCATTATAGGCGCAAAACCATTGACAGGAGACGGACAAAGAAAGAGAAAGAGAGAAAGAGAGAGAGAGAGAGAGAGAGTGAAAGAGGATGAGTGAAAGAGAGCGAAAGATGAAAAAGAGTGAGAGAGAATGAGAAGCTGAGAGAAAAAAGGGAGAGGGAGGAAGAAAAGAGAAAGAAAAACAGTCGCTTAGGTGCACGCCACTTTATGCTTTCCCCATCACTCCTCACACACACATATCCGTTGTCATTTTTCCTCGTAGTGATGGAAGTAGCTCGGTGTTTATAGGTATGTTGAAAAAAAAATAATATATACGGGTTTCCTCGAGCGCGGCTCGACGACGATGCGTTTCCCGAGGTGCGCCCGCGCGTTAACGATCGTCACGAAGTGCTTAATTTGGCTTCCGGGCCAATGCCACGTCCTTTACAGATTTGTTTCCCACATCGTTTCGTGGACGTTCTGGTGCACTTCTTCAGGGAGAGGAATAAGTTCGAAAGCCTGCAGCCAGATTAAGCATTTCTCGACACGAAATATCAGATCGTCTCGAAGATCTTTTCCTACCTTCGCTCGTCGGTATGCGATATTTCGTATCTATGAAAGAAAGGAAGGAAGGAAGATAGAAGGAAGAATAGGGCCTGCTCGCCTCTTATCGCGGAAACTCGTCGAGAGAGTCGAACCGTCGGAGAACCAGTAGGCGTTCTTCTTCCGGGATAACACTCCGAAGTCCCGATGTCCGATCCACACCGGAGCGGTGCGGTCACAAGCTGTACGCATATTCGGACGCAATTCGGCAATCGTCGGAACTCGAAGGGTTAAATTTCCGTTGCCGGATATTCGAAGCTAATGTCCTTGTATCTTGAGTGTCCTCCAATTACGCCGTGTCGGACAACGTGTCAACCCTTTGAGATAGTTTACACTTTCAAGAAAATCTTCTCCTGTTCACAAAGGATCCTGTTTACAGAGGATCATCGAATGACACGGCCGCTCTACTCGGTGTCTTGGTGACTTCTCTTCCTGGTGTGTCGAGGTTAGAAAAGGGAACGCCGTCGAATACTCGTCTTTCGACATTTCGGCAACTTCCGCCGCCGTAGGTCGCGACAAACGACAAGTTCAGTTTCACCGTTTTTCTCTTTGGCCGAGTACACAGTGAATATCCAAACGACGCTTAAGAAGCGTGCGACGTTATCTCACTCAATTATTTAAATCCGCGCACCGTTTCCGCCGCTTGGCACCGGCGCAAAGTGCGCGACCAGGTCTCAGGTTTCACACCGAGATAGTGTATCGCGTCACGCGCCTGTATGTGACGTGAAGGAAACTCCAGATACAGATAACAATTTCGCGCGGCGGGGATGCCGGGGAGTGGTGATCTGTCTCAAAGGGTTTACTAGTTCGCAAACTCGGCCCGTAACCTGCTCTCGCGGCTTTGGGGGACGCTTAAAAATACCGTCGCGCAACTTTCAGCCAATCGATAGAGGTAGAAGTTCCGGTACTCCGCACGTAAGCTTCAACAGAGGGGAATCGAATGTTGTTCTGATATATACGGCGACGGACCGTACAAAGACCCGAGCTTCGCCGAGGAAACCAGACCTCATTGAAAGACAGATTTTAAGACTGAATCACAACGAACCGAATGTTTGCCTAACTCCCGCGAATCCGGAGGAGAATTCGGTCACTCACGGTGTATGTATATATATGTATATGTATGTGTATATATATATATATATGGCGGAAATCGAGGAAATCGTTGGTAGCGACGGAAAAATCCTCGAGAGACTGGCGAAGTTGCCGAAAGAGAGAGAGAGAGAGAGAGAGAGAATCGCTCTCCGGGGGGCTCGGAGTCTCTCGGGTCGCTGCGAGGACCCGGAGTCCGTCGATTTTTTTTCGGGTGCCGCGGGTCGCCATCATTTGAACAAGCACAACCGCAACTACTACAACTACAACAACAACCGCCGGGCGAAAAAAAAAAATCAAAACTACCGCGCGTACTAGGCGCCTCAGATCGAATGATGAAACATTAATGGCCTGCTGTCTCTCTCTGTGTGTGTTGCAGCGGCAGTGCTGGCGAGTCAGCAGGCCGCCGCGGTAGCCGCCTCGGTGATCTCGCCATTCCCGCCCAAGTGACCCGCGGCCCCCGTCATGCCCGGCGGAACCGCCGGGGGCAACTCCGCACAAGCCCACCACACGCATCCGGCGAGCGGCGCGCCCGGTGCGGGACACCCGCACGGTACCGCCGCCGGCGGCGGCAGGCAACCGTAGGAGGCCGTAGCAGAGACCAGTTGGCATCCGGTTGGATCCCGATCGATCTGCGGGCGAGCTAACGAGCCTAGCTAACGAGCGAGCAAGCTAGTGAGTCAGCTAACGCCGCTGGTGTAGCGGGGCACGTGCACCTCCCTGTTGTCGCTTTCCTCTTCCCGAGATCAGGACCAAGGTGTAGCCGCCAAAGAGTAGAGGCTGACGTGTTCCCTACGGGCTGATAAGAATGCACCGTGTGATGCCGCTTCGTTGGGCTTCATCGACCGAAGGGTTTTTGAGGAGAGGCAAAGAGAGAAATAGAGAAATAGAGAAAGAGAGAGAGAGAGAGAAGGGGATGGGGGGAGGACGAATCAGTAGATGCGCGAGATATCCTATAATGGATGCTGTCGTTTCTTTCCCTTTGGCGACCATCGGAGTTATTGGGAGCCGCAGAAGGCTGAAGAAAGAAAGGGAGAGAGACCACCGGGACGATAGGATGTTCTGCGCGTGCAGTGTTTGTTGTTCGCTTCCTTAACGATGCGTGGTGATAAGGAGTACCGGCGGTCTTCCGGCGGAGATGTTAATCGGGACTTCGGAGTGCCGCTGGACAAGCTGATCCACGTGATATCTCCCGATCACCGAGTTCCTCCACCGAGACCGACCGTAGTAAGGCGTGGACTTCAGTTGAGGTGTGTTTAGAGTGTGATGCGCGACATCGTTCGTTTCTTCGACGATGACAGCCTCCTCCGAGACGTCAGGCTGGGGTCTTCTGTTTCACTGAGGCAGGGAGTACCGTTGCCTTGCGCTCAGGATGTCAGAATGATCAGGGCGTGTGTTCCGTGTGTTGTCCGTATCCACCGCGAGAGCCGAGCCAGAGGGCGGCTTTTGAACACGCTGATCTTCAAGATTTCCTAGTAGAACCGCGACTACTTGACGATCATCAGGGACGTTTGAGAGAGGGCGAAGGAAATCTGGCGGACTCGTCGTACGTCGCTCGCGATCTTCCACATGGTTAGGTCTCTTCGTGTCGATCGGTAAACAGCGACGTGGCGTGCACCGAGTCCGTCGGATGAACTCGATCTCTCGGAGGGAACGATAAGAGACTGAACCTAACCCGACGCACAAACACGAGGTCTGCTCTTCTTCGCCAAACTAGTGTGCGCACATATAGAATTTAGAAAGAGACAGATATGTACAGAGTTAAGGCTTGGTGGAAGAAAGAGGAGAACTAGTCCACACAAGCTAGTGCAACCAGTTCAGCGAGAAAGAACAGACCTAAGATATCCTTCGCGGAGAGCGAGACAGAGAAAGAGAGAGAGAGAGAAATGGTCATCTATCATCAGGCGAACCGATCGCGATAGGAAACTTCGACGAGACGATCGTTA